GGTTGAGTGCAGAAAAGGAAAATGCATCAATGAATGGTCATGATGATTGATTTTTCTTCTAATCGTGAAATGGTGTGAACAAAGAAAAAATCGGAGGCGCATCATAAATGGTACTTGCACACATAAGGAAATAAATAGAAGATATGGCAGTAAAATGTAATTAATAACACATAAGTCCGAATTTTTGGTACTAAGTGAAATAATGCCAAGTGAGTCTCTTAAAGCACAAAATTTGTCTGCAAGTAGGGGTTTTGTAAAAACGTCTACTAATTGATCATTAGTACTAACAAACATTAATTCTGTATCACACTTAAGAACATGATCTCTAATAAAATGATGTTTGATATCTNTTGAATAGGTTTAAAAGATAATTCATAGTCACTTAATTGATGAGACATCTAAAGTAGTTGAGCACAACATTGTCTGATGGCTATGTATTCTGCCTCAATTGTGGACAAAGCCATTGATCCTTGTTTTTTTATATTCTAGGAAATTAATGATTTTCCCAGCAAATGTCATATCCCACTAGTGCTTTTCATGTCTTCTTTGTTGCCTACAAGATCAACATTTGAAAATCCTTCAAGTTTAAAATTGTTAGAATGTGGATACGATAGTCCATAGGAAGTAGTTCCAATAAAATAGCGAATTATTTACTTTACTACAGTTAAAGGAGACTCCTTAGGAGCTGATTGGAACCTGATACATTTGCACACACTGAACATGATATCTAGTCGACTAGCAGTTAGGCATAGCAATGATCCAATAATTCTGTGATACTTAATTCTGTCCACTGATTTTCCTTTGTTATCATTATCAAGAGTGGTTGATGGACTCATAGGCGTTCCAAGTGCTTTAGCATTGCTGTACCGAATTTTTGAATCAATTCCTTAGTGTACTTCATTGACAAATGAATGTGCAATTTTTTGATTGTTGAATTTGTAGTCCAAGAAAGAATGTGAGCTCCCCCATCATGCTCACTTCGAACTCACTTTGCATGAGATTTGAGAAATCCACAAGACAGAGTTAGTACTGCCAATTATAATATCATCGACATATATTTTAATAATGAGATTAATTACAATGGATGTTTTGATAAATAATGTATCTTACCTCTGGTAAATCCATGATCAGTTAGAAAAGAGTTCAGCTTCTCATACCAGGTTCGAGGGGCTTGCTTGAGTCCATAGAGGGCTTTAGTCAACTTATATAAATGGTAATAAAATTGTGAGTTTTCAAAACTAGGAGGTTGCTTTACATATATTCCTCATCAATAAAACCATTTAGAAAAGCACTTTTGACATCCATTTGAAATAATTTAAAACCTTTTAATGAAGCATATGCGAGTAATATACAAAGTGATTCTAACAGAGCTACCAAAGCGAATGTTTCATCATAGTTGCCTCCTTCCTGTTGTGAGTAACCGTGAGAAACTAGCCTAGCTTTGTTTCTAACCACTTTTCTATCTTCATTCAACTTGTTTCTAATACTTATTTGGTTCCAATGATTGTAGTATTTGTTGGCTTGGGCACCAATTTCCGTACTTGATTTTTGTCAAACTGATCAAGTTCATCCTGTGTAGCTTGTAACCAGTTGGATTCCTTCAAGGCTTTATCTACCTTCTTTGGTTCAATCTGAGATATGAGTGCAATGTTAGCCTTTTTCTTGAGAGCTCTCCAATTTTTCATCCCATCATTTGTATTTCCATATGATGAACTTCTGAGGATACTCATGTTCACTTCTCCGTTTATTTGGTCTTGTTTCAGCTTGTTGAGTAGTCAACGCCTTTTAAGGTTCATCATGATTGCTGACAGGTTCATTACTCGACTTTGTAGATTCACTGCTGCTGTTAGTTGAATTCTTTGATTCATGATATTCATTCGTCTTCGATACATCTTGATTAATATCTTCATCACATGTAAAGACTCCTTTCTCGGCCACAAGGTTATTATCATCGAAAATAACATGAACTAATTCTTCTACACACAAGGTACGTTTATTATAAACTCTAAATGACTACAGTCATTTGAATAGCCAAGAAATATACCTTCGTCGCTTCTTGGATCGAACTTACCAAAATTGTCCTCACCATTGTTATGAATGAAGCATTTGCTCCCAAAGGGATGAAAGTAGCCAATGTTTGGCCTTTTTCCCTTCCACAGTTCGTATGTAGTTTTCTTCAAAATAGGCCTTATGAGACATCTGTTAAGGATATGACATTCTATGCTGATTGTCTCTGCCCAAAATGATTTGGTAGAGAATGCTCCAGTATCATCGTTATAGCAATGTCTTGTAGGGTTCTGTTTTTGCGTTCAACCACTCCATTCTGTTGAGGTGATATAGGAGCTGAGAAGTTTTGAGTGTATCTTTATTCATTGCAAAATGCTTCAAATGATCTACTCTCGAATTCTCCTCCACGATCGCTTTGTATGGTTGAAATGAGATACTCTTTTTCTCTTTCAATCCTTTTAAAGAAGATCTCAAAATTCCTTAAGGCTTCATCTTTGTAAGTTAAAAATATTACCCATGTAAAACGTGAGTAATCATCAACAATGATAAATGCATATCATTTACCCCCAATGCTAGCTATTCTAGTAGGGCCAAATAGATCCATATGTAGTAATTAGAGGCTTGGTTGTAGAGACAACATCTTTGGGCTTAAAGGAATTTCTAATTTGTTTTCCAAGTTGACATGCATCACATACATGATTCCTAGAAAAAATTGGGTTTGGCAAGGTCAATGACTAAGTCATGTCTAGAAAGTTTTTTAATCAGGTGTATGCTTGCATGGCCAAGTTTCTTATGCCAACGTCTAGGATCATCAGATATGATGCTAGACAAATATGACCATCTAAGCTTTGAATGCAGTCTATAATGTAAAAGTTTCCATACCTCTTTCCTGGTAGAATGATTTTACCTGACTAATCTTTGATAACACAACCCGTTTTCTTGAATTTGACTTCATACCCCGAGTCACATAGTTGACTTATGCTCAGCAGGTTATAGTTGAGTCCATCCATAAGATAAATTTCTGTAATATCATAGTTAATGTTGAGTGGATTTCTACCAGTGCCAATAATTTTGCCTTTTGAATTATCACCGAAGTTGATTTCCTCCATTTATTTTTGTAACTTCTTTGAATAGATTCTTGTCGCCCGCCATGTGACTGGAACACACACTATCAAGATACTATTTTCCCTTTTGACTTTTCATGTGGTGTTCTTGAAGAACAAGATTATTGCCTTCATTTAGGTACACAAACTTGCTTGGTCCTTTTTGTTTAGTTCTAGTAATATTAGGACTATTTTTGGGCTTACAGATCCATTCCGTAACATTTGAGTTATGAAATCTACAAAAGGAATACTTATGACCGGTTCTATTACAATAAAGAAATACAGGAATGAGTTTTTCATTAGATCTACTGGTGGTATCGTTACTATTAGATCCATCTCCAACTGATCTTTTTCTAGTTGACTTATAAGATGGCCGGTTAGACTTGACAGAGTTGTGACTGGTGGACTTGCACATGGCGTTTAGTTGCAATTGCAATTCCTGGGCTTTTTTTGAAGAACATCTCTTTCGATTTCGCAGACTTCAAGTTTATTTCCTAGTCCTTCTTCTCCCTGTTCAGTCTCTTTTATTCAATTATAATTTTTTGAGACTCTTTTAGGGTGGGATCAAGAATATCTTGTAATTCATTACATCTATCACATTCATAAGGTCTTACCTAGCTAGATTCGCAGCGTGCCATGAAGCAATTCTCCGTATTTTCCTTGCTATCATCCGGACCTGTCTTCATCTGTCCAACAACCTGAGATTGTTCATATCATTTTCTAAAATAGTCATGAAACACAGGTTAGTGATTTCTTCATGCTCTGAGATGTATTCATCACTCCAACTTCCAAAAGATTTGTTTTTGTGAAATCCTCTGGAGGCTTTTCTTTTGAGATCCGGGTATTCTGCTTGTATACGACCATATTTTTCACATTCAAAACATTTTCCATCGTTCTTCTCCTGTTCATTGTATTGTCTGGAGGTTCTTCTGGAGGACATTCTTCCCTTTTTGGTGTTCATGTATATTATCATTAGTCTATTCATTGTTTTGGTAACCATAGCGATTTCTTCTTGTAGAGCCTCATCTTCGTTGTCATTGTCATCTTTAGATCCTTCAATCGAGGTTTTGAAAGCGACTATTTTATTTTTTCTTCCTGCCCTCATTTTTTGAGATGTGTTTTCTCAAAGGCAATGAGATCTCCTTGTAGTTCATTATATGACCTTGGCTAGATCTTGAGACTCAAGTGCAACTACTTTTGTTTGCCAGGTAGTAGCTAAACTTCTTAGGATTTTTTGAACATGCTCACCACTTGAGTATGGTCTTCCTATAGCTTTTACATCTCCAATGATTTTACTGAATCGAGAAAACATATCCTCAATGGATTCACCTTCTTTCATATGAAAGAGCTCATAGTCATGCACCAACAGATTTATCCTCGTTTCCTTGACTTTGCTTGTCCCTTCATAAATAACTTCCAGCTTATCCCACATTTCTTTAGCCGTATCGTAACTTGAAATCTTCTCATATTCTTGTAGACATGTGATTTTTGACCCTCTCCAAGATTTTTTAAATTTTAGCATGTAAATATCTAGTTTAGGCCTAATATCGCTATTACAAAAAAAAAATTAGTTTATGTATCTTTTATAAATTTAAATAAAAAATATACAAAAATAGTACATTATTTTTATTTTTATATAACCTTGAAAACACAAAAATAGTTTCATGTTTTTATATAGTTTAGTTTAATCATAAGATTAGTTTTATATTTTTATTATAATTGTATATAATTTTAGAAGGAGGAATTAATGTTGGGTTGGTTTATCCCATCTCTATGAATTTTATAGTTTTTTTAATCTTTGTCCCAATTTTAAGGCCCAATAATACCAAACTCATACCCCCTTAACCAAAAACCCTTTCTATATAACAAAAATACACCCTAAGATATAACCTGACCCTAAGACCCTAGGACCTAAAAAAGCTAGAAGCAATCTGCTGTTCTTAACAACAAGAAACACCCCCCTCCTGGATCTCATCTCCTTCACCCAACCCAAAGGATATTCTTCATTTGGTGAACCAAGAAAAAAGACTACAAAAAAACAAAAAGACTCTTAGACCTTTCAGCCGAAAAGGACCAAAGAGGGACTCCGCCGACTTCATCTTCTTCAGCAACCAACACACCCTAAGCAGCAACCTCTCACCAGACCCATCGCCGAGCCACCCCGCCTCACTGTTCGCCGGAAAATAGTAGCAGCGGTCACCAGATCTCTAAAGGCTAATAGTCGTTGCCCACCCCCTTCTCTTCTCTGAAAATCCAGTTTTCTTTTTGTGTAATCTTGAGTAAGTGTATCAGGGAATGAAATAGTTGTGTGTATTTTCAGATCCTCTCCCTTCCGTCTTTTAGAATGAGGGGCAAATAATGAGCCGAAATATTTCTTGGATTTGGGATCCTTCGTTGGCGATTGCCGAGGATGAAATTGCCAGCGACGATATATCCCTTGAGGGATTTGAGAAGGAGTTTCTGTCGTGTTCCGGTCCAGCTTGAGTTCCGTCGAGGTTCGATTTGAGATCGTTGTTCTTTGTTTCCGGTTTGAGGTTTGAGTTTCAATTCTTTCATATACATGTGTTATTTCTGTCTATTATAATGCTCTGTTTATAAAATTCTTGTTATCGTTAATTGTTATCTCCTTTTAATTTCATATACATGGTTTTGATGACATGAATTTGAAGTTACACATTGTGCATACATTATGTGTGGTTGAGTATTTTCGTATCTGAATCTCTATATAAATCATAATATAGTTTAGTTTCTGGAAATGGAAAACATTAGTGCATAGAAGTGTATATTATTGAGAGATCTGATTTATAGTTGTAAAGTTGAAAATCGTGTATCAATAATTTGAATCGATCTGTAATTAATCCTATTGTTCTTTTGGTGTAAGAACCAGATAGGAAGATCCATGAATGGGCAATTGAAATGATAGAGAAAGGAGTTGTATGGATTAGAAGAATGCTTAATCTCTATTTTTTTGTTTAATGCTCTTATAGAATTTTAGTCTCGTAATTCACCTGACATCTGGTTCCAGATTTGAAAAGCTTAAAACGAGTGTTATTTTTCTTAAAACAATCTTCATTCACATATCTGCTTCTATGAATTGATAATTCGCTTTGGTTAAGTACAATTTTTTTTAAGTTGAGGTGCGCCATCCGATCACATAGTCTATGGTCCTCACATCTATATCTTTACTAATATAGAAAAACGCTTTGAACCTCGTAGCTTGCTTTAGGCGCGATTTAATATACCATTGTGATTGTGTACATATTCGAGTGACATAATTACGATTCTTAAAAAACCAAATCAGAGTATGCGTTCGCGCAACTTTGACTAAATTTTCTTAATAATAATATAGTGTTATTGATTATAGACATGTTCGCGTGACATGATTTTTGACGCGCCAAACAAATGGGTACACGTGCGCGTGACCCATTTTAAGATAATTTCTTAATAAAAAAGGGCAAATATACATAAGTTCTTAAATTAGTAATTAGACAATTTAATAAGCCAAGTAATGATCAAAGCGACCATGCTAGAACTACGGAACTCGGGAATGCCTAACACCTTCTTCCGGATTAACAAAATTCCTTACCCAGATTTCTATGTTTGCAGACCATAAATAAGAGTCAAACTTTCCTCGATTCGGGATTTTAAACCGGTGACTTGGGACACCATACATTATCCCAAGTGGCGACTCTAAATAAACAAAATAATCCTATTTTGATTGTCACTTAAATGGAAAAAACTCCCTTATACCCCTTTCGGAGGTGTGAAAAAGGAGGTGTGACAGCTCTGCCGACTCTACTAGGGAACGAACCCAGAATCTCTGGTTCAGGGTTCAAGAATTCGAGCTTGTTAATATGATTTTTACTTGGCTTCATTTATTGTTAATATTACTGTATTCTGTGAACCTTTTGTGTTAAATGCTATCTGTTTACCGCTTTAATATTGTTTGAATTGAATATAACTGTCTTCTTACGCTACCCCTCTGAGTCTTCTGAAAATGGTGCACACGTTCACATGGCCCGATTTTTCTGTAGAAGTTATACCAAATAAGAACGGGGCTGGGCCAGCAACAAGGCCGGGTAGACTACAATGCTCCCGGTACGTTGCCCCCTCTTCTGCTCGAGTTGTCCGCCCGCGTAAGCCAGGTCTAGAACACAACCCCAGGATTTAAACATAGAAAAACACAGCCTCATGCCGGATCCCTAGTAGGAATGTTTGTTTGCATCATGTGCATTTGATCTAGGGGACTCAACACAGGGGTTGGGTCCGTCTAGAATACGTGTACCCAAAATAACAGACTATCTTGATGCATCCTATGTGTTACATATTGCATTTCTTCAATGGTAAAAGGGTCATTTGGCAGACCAATGATAGTTGATGGCAAATGAAAAAAAAAGAAAAAAGAGGGTGAAGTGTGAAAATAAAGTAAGTAGGGCCTAGTTATGTTTTCTTTCACATTTTTGTTAAGAAAGAGAAAAAAACATGAAAAATTCAAAAAAAATTTTTTTGCACTTTTTCATCATTTTTCGAAAATCAAAAATAAAAAAAAAAGAGGAAAAAAAATCCAAAAAGAGTTTACATGTTTCATCATTTTTTTTAAAAAAAGACCAAAAAAAATATTTTCTCTAAATTAGTTGTTTTTCTTTAATTCTCGCCCGTATCCAATATGCCCGAACTACGCGAACTAGATTCTCGTCTTTCGGGGCGTGATACGTAGGCAACCCACATAGGGTCCGGTCTTCCTAGTAAATCTTAGGTTCTTGGCTTTGCGGGATCTTAGCCAAATTTTGCACTTCTAGCCATCTTTAGGCCGCATAAGCCATTTTGCAAAAATAACTTCAATCATGTCTTGCATGTTGTCAAACAGGAAGTGTTATTGTCTCACATGGTGTTCTAGGTCTTTATCTTTATTTGGTCTTATTTTTCTCATGCAGGTGTGGATTTACTTACCGGAGTTTGGGCATGACAGACACCCTAGGACCATCCAGTCAGAGTCGCTCATTCAGGAGTTTACTTAAGGAGATTTTTTTTAGTTATTATGTTTTGAGTCTGTTGTTCTTTTTATGTCATCTTTTACCTTCTAATTTTGTACAGTAATGTCGAGTCTTTTAGGTGATGTTAGTTTCTGTCATAGTCTAGTAAGTTTGTCGAGTTTTTTTTTTGTTATTGTATGTCCTATTTTGCATTTGAAAAATGTGTTATAGATCAAAAATTCAAAAAAAAAAAAGAAATTTTGCATTTTTATATTTCCGTTAAAAATTTTCTTTAGAATACTAATTCTAGGAATAAAAAAATTATTTGAGGTGGTTTTTCTTTATTAAATTAATATCTAGAACTAAAAAAAAAGTGCTTTTATATTTCATTTAGTACATTAAGACTAAAAATTCAAAAAAAAAAGAGAATTTTCTTTTAGTACCTCTTTAAAAGTTTTTTTTAAGATATTAATTTCGAAAACCCAAAAAGATTTTCTTTTGAGGTTCTTCTTTGGGAAATTAATGAAAAATAAATAAAAATATTCTTTTTATTTTTCTCTAGAACTTTAGGATATTGTACATCGAAGAAAAAAAACATACTTCATCTTGTGTTTATTTTCAGAGTTTCTCCCTCAGGTAATCAAAAACTAAAATCCAAAAACATGTTTTATAGTTTCCATTTCTTGTTTCGAAATCTTTCTTCAGAATATCAAATGAAAATTCAAAATATTTTTCTTTGGTTCATTCTTTAGATTTCCTTCCTAAAAAAAAGAAGAATAAAAAAATATTTCTCTTCAAGGGATTTTTTTTCCTTAATAATTTCCCACAGAGTATTTGTTTCAAAAAGAAAAAAATATATGATCGTTAAGTTTGAGTTTAAAATAGGTTATAGAACTTTAAGTCTATACAATTCAAAAAAAAAAGATTTGCTTCTTTTATTTCTCTTTTTTTCATAAGAGTAGTCATTAAGGTAATAAACAAAAAGAAAAAAAAGAAGAAAAAAAAGGAAAATGAGAACGTTTGTTTGTTTACTTTATTCCCGATCTTCCCGAACTACACAAAGATCTGATTCATGGGGCATCATGATACGTAGGCAACCTACATAGGGTTCGATCGAATCATTTTTTTTATTAAAAGAAAAAGGAAAAAAGAAGAAAAAAAATTTAAAAAAAAAGAAAAGGAAAAATGAGAGGTGAAATTATGGGATGTGAGAAATGAGAAAAGAGTGATAATTAGAAGAAAAAAAAAAGAGGAAGGAAAATGAGCAAGCAAGTGATAGAAAAGGAAAGAAAAGAGAAGATTGAAATGAATAAATTGGGATGATACCAAGTGACCTTGTGACCCTCGAAGTCATTCTAAAACCGTTAATTGTTGAGGTGCATTGCACGTAATGTGATATTTTTAGCAGTTAAATGCCTTAACGCTAACATGATGACTTCATTTTGTTCCTCTTTGTTATCCTCATTATAGCAGAAGGGTGGTTGGTTTGTGGTTCTTAAACTGGTAACTCTTCCATACAACACAAGGTCAAAGAGCAAGGTAGCCATGACTAGCAAAGACTTAGACACAAGAGTTGTCGACCCGTCGAGGGAGTTTGTGGAGTCGGAGTTTCAATTGAAAGGGGAGGTCCAAATGTTGAAACAACAGATGACAGAAATGTATCAGTCTTGGATCAGGGGGAATCCCCCACCTTCATTCCCTGCTAACTACACCGAAAATCCTGCAACTATCCCACTACTATCACAAATCCAGATTCCCACTGCTGTTGATATCATCCCACCACCTTTTCACACTCTACCCGCCAAAATCACCTCATATTCCGCTCCTTTGGTCACTCATGCTTTTGTAGCTCCTCCACCAGCTATTTTTCCTCGATCCTCTAACGAAACTATGTTCAACGTCCCCGATGCCCAACACTATGTTCCATAACCAACTTCCAAGGTTTCGGATCCCTACTCTCACGCTCCTCATTTTGAGCCTCCCGATGAAGCTGCAAAGCCTGCTAAGACAGTGGAGCAAGATGAGATATCCAGAAAGCTGAAAGTGTTTAAGATGCCAAAGTTTAATTTGTATGATGAGCGTGAAGATCCAGTATCCCATTTGAGGGGTTATTGCAGTGAAATGAGAAGTTTTGGCGGGAAAGATAAGTTGCTGATGGTGTATTTCAGTGAGAGCCTGACTGGGGCAGCTTTGGAATGACATACTCGTCAAGATGTCGGTAAGTGGCATACACGGGATGACATTTCTCAAGATTTCGTGTGACACCTTCAGTACAATATAGACATTGTCCTAGACCGCTTCTCCCTATATCAAATAGAAAAGAAACCCAAGGAATGTTTTAGGGAATTTTGGTTCAGATGGAACGAACAAGTTGCTCAGGACAGTCCTCCCATTGATAGAAAAAATGTTGCTGAGCCCTGGCAACGACAGGATCCAGTAGGCATTCCTGCTAAAAGCTTCCACCCTCAATACCGACCTCATGAACATCCTCGAGCTCCACATAATTCACCCCAGTATTATCCTCCGAACAACGTTCGGTCATCTGTCCAACCACTGGGTCATTCCTTATGGCGAGCGCCAGCACCGCATAATGCACTTCTGCCTCCACAACATTTGCGAGCATCCAACAACCCTAGAAAACTGGGGCATGGAGGGAAACAAAGGCAAAAAGATAATTTCACGCCCATCGGAGAATCCTACACCAACTTGTTTGAAAAGTTAAAACGTTCTGGCCTGATTGAGCCGCTCCTTGGCTATACGCCGGACCCATATGCAAAAGGATTTGATCCTACTGTACAGTGAATGTACCACTCTAATGTCCAAGGGCATAGCATTGAAGAAAGTCGTGCTTTGAAAAGGGAAATAGAAAGAATGATTTAAGAAGGAATAATTGTGGTCAGGCACTGATACCCTAAGTGTCACACATAATCCTCTACAGGTACATGACAATGCACAAATTATTGTGATGGTTTGCAATGATGAAGGGTTGGTCAAAGGAGTCAATGAGCCACTTGGTGAAGACAATGTGATTGAAGTTGGTGAAGGTACCAGTGATATTGATGTGGAACTCATTGGCTAAGATGCCGAGCTTGGTAATTGGAAAGACGCTCCTCTCTTGGCTTGCCAGGGAGGAGTCTTGGTGGTTTATTTTGTTGTCATTTCTGTTGTCCGGGTTGTTTCAGGGTTGTAATCCGGATTTTGTCTTGTGACTCATTCCCTTCTATCCTTTTATTTGCCTAGTTCATTTAGTCGTAGTGCCCCTTTTAGTGCTATTTAGGTTTTTCCAGGGTCGTAACCCCAATGTGTTTTGTTTGTTTTGTTGTTCAAACCTTTCACCATCTGTCTAATGCAATTCTCTGTTTTCTGTTATTTTTAGTTATTTTTTGTTTATTTCTCTTCTCTTTTTATAGTTCTTTTCATGCTGGCTCTATTGACATGACATGCATGCATACATACTTCTAGGCTTGGTCTTAAAAGTTAGATTAATCATGAAGCAATGAAACAATTTTGAAGATGATAGGGACACTTGAGAGAAATACGTATAGATTTGGACATTTTGAGATCATTTGAAGCCCGAATCATGTAAAACTGGGGCAGATGATTTGGGAAGTTAATAGGGTGACAAGAATTCGTTAAAGGAGAGTGCATCCCGGACAATTTGAAGCAAGCAATTTTGGGTTCAAGTGCATCTCAAATTACAAGATAAAGTTAAGAACGTTTTCTCCGAATTGACGGAGGATATCCATTGTGAAGAGGAAATTACCCAACGAGAGTTCTGTACTTGGCAAGGCGTAAAGAAAAGTGGAAGGCATATCAGTAACATCAAATGGCGGAGCCGCAAAAGAAATATTGTGCATGATCTTCAATTTTCATTTCAAGTTGCATATGTTATACTTGGAATTTTCAGGGATTGGGAGACCCTCTTTCAGCTATCCAAACACTTATACCATTCGATACCCTTTTGAGCATGTACTGATTTCTTTAACCTCCCCTCTTTTGGAATCAAGTTAGAGTCATACGAAAAAAAAACATTCATGTCCCCATAGGTTTATTTTCGGAAGTTCATTCCAAAAAGAAAATTCAACAAAAGAAGAGGAGGAAAATAGAGATAAAAAGGGGAAAAAGAAAAAAAAAGGAAAATAGCAACAAAAAGTAGTCGTGTGAACTACGGTTGACCTGATTCTTGTCACCACAAAATATGTAGGCAGACTCACGATTCGGTCATACCAAATAAAATATTTCATAATCCCACGAAGTCGAGAGTGGGGTAGTCTTTCTTAGTAAAAAGAAAAAAAAGAATCAATTTCCTTTGTTTTAGAAATCGGGGCAAAGTTTTAGAGTGGATTCCAAAAGTTATAAATAAATTAACCCTGTTGTCTTAGTTATTTTGAGCCTTTATGATATCCTTTCTTTCTAACCCTGTCCAAAAGCCCCATTACAGTTCAAAAAAGACCTCCCAGATAATCTTTGAGAGTGCTGAGTTTAGACATGCCAAGAGTATATGATATTTTTACCATGGTTAATGCCTTGTCATCTACAGAATCAGAGGAAATAAGAAGAAAAGAACAAAATGATAGAGTCTTATCGGTGAAAACCTTCACAGGCACTATAAGGCGACGGTAAGTTGAGAGAAAGAACAAAATGAGAGAGGCTTGATGGTGAAAACCCTTTGGGCACTACAAGTCGAATAAGGATTGTGAATTAGATTGGATAATCGGAGCATTGAAACCCAGTTTCACGGTTTAGGGGTATAACAAGAGTTGAACATCAGACTTGCTTGACAGATATGGCCACAAGTGCATGTCATGGTCATTAGAGTTGGTATCCACATCTGATAAGTTTCTACTTTGTAGTTTTCTTGTTTGGAATCATCTCTTTCCTTTGTTCTTTACTCTGTTCCTTTTGTCTTGCTTACTTCTGCTTCCTAAGTCTGTTTGGTCAGAACAAATGAGAAATGACTTCAAAATTTGCCACCAGCTTTCCAATTGCACAAAACTGGATCTGGCTAGCACATCAAAGTGGCACAAGTTAGGAAAGAACAACATGCGCACTAAGTTGGTAACAATCAACGTGCTTTGGGGATTCATGTGAAACATAAAGGTTCAGTATATGTCAATGCATGAGCACAATGCAACAGATAGAGGGTTTTTGTTTGAACGAATCAGAGGTATTTTCTGCGATAAGGGTGACAGAGAAAATGGTTAGTCAATAAACAAGTAATGTCTTTCTATTTAAAATCGAAGTTATCATGTGAAGTGAAGGAGCAATCGC